GGTGACGTTGCGGTCGTTTCTGGTGGCGCTGGCCGAGATGCTTCGTCGGGTGTGTTGGAACAACCTTCGCGTGGAGAACGAGCAGATCGGCAATACGGACTCGTTCAAGATCGTGCGCGATCTGCCGCTGCCGTATCGGCAAAAGCTGCGCGACGAGGCCGAGGCGGGGTCGGATACGGACGGCGTGCACAGTACGGGCATCTTTGCGAATGTGCGACTGGCAAGGCTGCGGAAGAAGGCGCATGCGGTGGCTACGCACACGCCTCCGTCGGAAACCGATCGCGCCTCCCCCGGCGAGGTGGAGGCGGAAGTGGGGGCCAAGAGAAAGTCGCTCATCGAAGGCCTGCGCACCAAGCTTGTCCCGGATGCGCGGTCGGACGAGATTGGCAAGTCGCTCGACGAGCGTGCGGTGACCAAAGGCCGATCTGGACGCGACTATACACCGCGACGGGGGGAGTACGACCGAGGCCTCGTTGATGTTGACAGCGACGACGACGACGAAGACGACGACGACGACGACGATGCTCACGAGGCGCACGCGAGCAGCAAGGAGCATACGTCTGACGACAGCCGTGGCACCTCGCTACCCCAACCCCCACCTCGAGCCGTTGCTCGCCAACGACGCCATGCTCCAACTTGACACCGTCGCAGATTTCATGGGAATGTCTCGCTATTGCTTTTGGTCTGCCAAGTGTGTGACGAAGCTGCGGGGTCTAGTGCAGAGAGGGATGGGTTGGGCGGGGGCGTCATGTCTTATCCGGCGACCAAGTGTCGAGCTTTGTAGTGGTGTGGTGGCGTGTGTAGCGGGGCAAAGTGATTCAGTGGAAGCGAGAGACTTGGACTGGCATGTGGTGAAGCGTTAGTGGGGCCGCCGAGGGGGGGTTCCTGCGTTGGGATCTAAAGGTGTTTCACTAGGCGAGGTGTCGAAGCTTGTCATGCGAATCTGCCAGCTTTGGACCGCTTCCCATCGGGCCCGATGCATGCTTCGCTTTGTTGTGAGTATGTTAAGACGATGAATTGGCGGCAGGGATGGGGAGAGCGCATGCGGAAGCTGTTGCGAAAAAAAAAAAA